TGTGCGTAATTTAGAAACTATGCTTCTTAGTATCGTTTATCGAACAAGGCAAGTTAGTCTGAAAGTTATCATTTGGATTGTATTATTCGGAAGTGACAATAACCTTCATTGTTTGAGGAGCTAAGCTTTGATCTATATTTAAACTAGAAACCATGTTTCTTAGCATCACAGGTAAATCTTAAGCTAATATTATATGTTGATTTAAGGGGATACGGTTGAACTAGGCCAAGCATAGTTTGTAGTAATGATCTCAATTTTTGATCTGATTACTCTGTTGTTTCTTTTTTTTTTTAAAAAAAAAAAAAAACTCTTGATGTGATTACTTAGAAGAATGATATCCCCAACATTCCGGCATGACATGAATTTTCATAAATGATGATGACGATTTTTGAAGAAAGTTTAGAGTTGATTTTATGTTTGAAAAAATGGGCAAAATTTTCCGGGTTAGATACAACTCACTATCTCGAAGTCAAGGATTACTGTATTTGTCCCTGTTGGCTGTCTTCTAGAACCTTGGAATAACAACGGGGTCACAACTGTAAATTTTGGTCCACACCTTGAAAGGGACGACTATTTTTGGTTTTCAACATATGCCAAGGGGAAAACTTCAGAAAATTATGCTCTAACTATTGGAATCAAATTTGAGAGAACTTAACTTTTCTCTCCTTGTCTTATATTCACTGTATTATTTACCATTAATTGTTATAAATTAACTAGCTGGCACAGTTTATCAAGATTTGGGGTCATTTGTAGATTTGTGAATTTTGCATATTTTGAATTGAATTTTTCAACTGGAGTTTCATAAGCACTATGAGGAAACAACAATTTCCATCTGGCAAAATCATTTGGTAAGAGTTTTTATCAATATTATGGTTTGATAAATCTTTTAAAAAACTAATTTCCGCTATCAAAGTACTAAAAACAACATATTTATGAAGGTAAGGAAAAATGGACAGAAGTAATTGCGGTAATTAATGATTTTGGGCAGGGATACAATTATTCAAAAAATTAGCTTTCTGCTTTTGCTTTGCTTCAAAGGAGAAGTTCAATTTTCTGATTCCTTCTTGCATGATTGACTTTTTTGTCAATCTTGTTTGAAATGTACCTCACACGGGAATGAAGTATTTAACCTTTTTAATCCTGGTTAAATATTTGCAACTTAAAATTGAAAAATTCTCGTGATAAATATATTCAAAAGGTTGCATTTTCCCTTTGCATTGCTGACTTTGTATCAACAGGTGGTTTTGGGAGCTACCTTTTTGGAATGAGTGAACGTATAGCCAGGCTATCCTCAGACAAGAATGACTTCAAAAATCCATCATTAGGATGGATTATTGGATTTCTCTTTGTTGTCAGCTTTCTTGGCCTCTTCTCAGTTGTACCTCTAAGAAAGGTATCATGTATGCTTCCTCTACTGGCTGCATCGTCCCATGACATCCAATTTGATTCATTAATGTATTAAAAATGAATTTATCAAACATAAATCAAGTTGTGGTAGCCCATTTTGCTGTAAATTTTCATCTCGGAGAACGCAGGAGCCTTACAGATACTGTAATGGTGAAGCGGATCATCTTTACCATTTTTATATCCTTAGAATTTATGTAATTCTATGTCAGCATATTGCTTTCCCTAACCTTGATTCAATTTTTTTTTCTACCATTGGCTGTAGATTATGATCATTGACTTCAAATTGACATATCCGAGTGGTACCGCAACTGCTCATCTTATCAACAGCTTCCACACTCCTGAAGGAGCCAAATTAGCAAAGTAAAGCACTGTCAAATGTGATAGCATGATAATTTATACACCCTTTTTTTTTTCTGCCATCGAGAATTTATACCCCACTGCCTGACTAATTACTTTTTGCTCTCAGGAAACAAGTGAGAACATTGGGAAAATTCTTTACTCTCAGTTTCTTATGGGGCTTCTTTCAGTGGTTCTATACTGCTGGTGATGACTGTGGATTTCAAGCCTTCCCTTCACTGGGGCTCAAAGCACATAAATACAAGTATGTTGTCACTTTATTTATTTATTTATTTATTTTTGGGTGGTATTGTGATTAAATGTTGTCTATCCAACTTTCATGTTACCTTAATTAAGCATCCACCTCCTTAGTCCAGTCAAAGGCAAGCCACCTACCTTAAGATGAGGGATTTTCTCAGGGAAAGCCCTTGCGCTTGGCCTCAAAAAATTTGGCATGATTAAGATTTATCACCTAACCACACATGACATATTTGCTTCAACTACTAGACCCAACACTTGGTTTCATCTCCTTATTTTGTTGAAAAACTCATTTAACTTGATATAAAAAATAATCATAATGTACTAAAACATGCTTCATATAAGAATCACTTTCAATTTAAAGCGTTTAATCTAAATTTTTATTATTTGCAGGTTTTATTTTGATTTCTCTACGATTTATGTTGGAGTGGGAATGATTTGCCCATATATTATAAATGTATCAGTGCTCCTTGGAGGAATTCTTTCTTGGGGGATTATGTGGCCTCTCATAGAACGCAAAGAAGGCCAATGGTACCCTGCAGACCTTCCTGATTCAAGCCTAAGTGGCCTCCAAGGTTACAAGGTTAGTTTCCTATCGTAAAACACTCTTGGTGCTAATATTTACTTTAGAGTAAGTTATAGAGGAGGATGAAAAAAAAAGGAGAAAAATATTTCTTTTCACATTTCCCTTGTTCCAACTTCCAAGTCCTCCTCCTTTTATATTTTTGAGTTCATGAAATTTGAAAGATTTTTTAAGGGAGATTTTTTTCCAAAGAGGAAGGAAAATTATCATGGAGCCATCCCTCTTCCTCTCCTCTCCTCTTCGGACTCTGTCCCTTCCCTTCTGTTCTGAACTCCTAACATATACTTTTGCTATTTATATGCTTTCTAGGGCCTGCCAATTAATTGACTTTGTCTTGCCACTTGGAATTAGGTATTTGTTGCCATAGCCATGATCCTGGGTGATGGCTTGTATAACTTCATTAAGGTGCTAAGTTATACCCTCATAGGAATGTATAACCAAGTCCGAGAAAGACAAAGGGAGAATGAACTTCCTGTTGCTGATCAAAACTCATCGAGGACTTCACAACTTTCTTATGATGATCAGCGCCGCACACAACATTTCCTCAAAGATCAAATACCCTCATATTATGCTATTGGGGGCTATGTTGCAATAGCTGCTGTCTCAGTAGCCACACTCCCGCACATCTTTCATCAACTGAAATGGTACTACATATTGGTTATCTACCTTCTTGCTCCAACTTTAGCATTCTGCAATGCTTATGGAGCTGGGCTAACCGATTGGTCCCTTGCATCCACCTATGGAAAGTTAGCCATCTTCACAATTGGGGCTTGGGCTGGAGCTTCGCATGGTGGGGTTCTTGCTGGCCTTGCAGCCTGTGGAGTGATGATGAACATAGTATCCACAGCCTCTGACTTGATGCAGGATTTCAAGACTGGCTACCTCACATTATCTTCACCTCGGTCTATGTTTGTGAGCCAGATTATAGGCACAATAATGGGCTGTGTGATCTCCCCATGCGTTTTCTGGATTTTCTACAAAGCTTTTGATGACCTTGGTAGCCCCAAGAGTGAGTACCCTGCTCCTTATGCAATCGTATACCGAAATATGGCGAAGTTGGGGGTGGAAGGCGTCTCATCTCTACCAAAGGAGTGTCTTTTGCTCTGCTATATTTTCTTTGGTTCTGCTGTCCTGATAAACTTGATTAAAGACTTGATGGGTAAGAGAGGGTGGTTCATACCACTTCCAATGGCCATGGCCATTCCTTTCTATATAGGGCCATACTTCGCCATTGACATGTGTGTTGGAAGTCTGATACTGTATGTGTGGGAGAGGATGAACAAGGCTAAGGCAGATGCTTTTGCCCCTGCAGTAGCTTCTGGTTTGATATGTGGGGATGGGATATGGACTCTGCCTGCTTCAATACTTGCTCTTGCTGGAGTTAAGCCACCTATTTGCATGAAGTTCTTGTCCAGGGCAACGAATGCTAGGGTTGATGCTTTCTTAGGTTCGTAGCGGTTTAGGTTTGGCTTTAAATTAATATCTTGTTCAGAGCCCTTAGTTTATTACTGCCTTGTAAATCTTTGGCTTTAAAACTCGTGCAAAGTAAGCCTATAGTTGAATAAAATGTGATTGTAAAAGTGGAAAGAAACTAGCTAGCATCTTACACCAGAAAAGCACGCTTCCTTGTGGTGAGTTGGGATGTTCATTGTATATATAATCTGGTTATAGGTATTGCATTTAGCTCTCTTTATTCCTAGTTGGAGAAGATTAGTGAAGATACGAGCTCTTGTTTGCTAATAGGTCAAGTATTTATTTTTTATGGGCTGACTATGTTTTTATCTTTTTCCTTTTTTTTTGGGGGAAAAAGCTGGATTTCTTAATTTACTGCTCCGCCTCCTTTTGATTAAACTGAAAAACAACAATTTTTATCCCTACATCAAATAAAGTTTTTTTTTTATAAAGATATATGCCAATATCTGCTAAGATACTTTAAAAGGATTAAAAAAAATCATTAACTTATTTAAAGCTTTATTAGGAATGCTTAGAGAAAAATGAAGTAGGCACTTCAGGCTTGTGGCTTGCCGGCGAGGGTGCTCCACTCCTGTCCAGGAAGTTGAGTTCGAATAGGCAATGGACCAAAAAAGAAAAAAGAATTAATTTTTTATTAGGTTTATCATATCTTCGAATTTAAGCAATAATATTTTTTCTCTGTATTTCAAGAATGCGAATCACTATTAATTACATAAATATATTTATACCGTTTATTTTTTTTCTAAAATTGTTTTATATATCAGCATTCTAAAAAGACTAATAATGCCACGCAAGAGCTAGGATGTTATAAAACAGCTTCAAATACACAAACCCATGATGGTTGTTAAAAAGGAATTTCTTAAATAATTTAGTAAGGGTCAACTACAACATCGTCCCCCATACTTGCTCTAACAGATTTAATTCTCTACAATAAAACTCCTTCGTTCATCTTCCATGCATCTCTATTTCTTTTCTGTAAATCATTTCCATTCTTTCTTCACCATATCACAATGATATATCTCCTGCATGAACTGTGTGCGCGAGAGTGTCAACCTTCTTCAGTCATCACATCAACAATTTTAGGAGGGAAAATAGCATCACTTCACTTGCTTGAAATTGTGGCATCATCCCTGCAATCCAGATCATAAGCTCAAGCAGTCCAATCTTCATCGCTTTCATCCACATCCTACGCAAAAGATCCATGAGAGCAAATTAGCGTAACAGCAAGATGAACATAGGTATATGAGATTCTCAAGTCCTTCAAATATGCGTCATCAGATTATTCAACAAAAATATGTTTCTGAATTTAATGAAACATAAGTTTGTACTTGTAATTGTCACAGCCGGCCTTTATGTCTTCGAATGTAATGCATGAGACAAGAACAATTACCTCTGAATCACTTGAAACTTCTTCAATGTCATCAACTTCATCTTCAACCTAAATTTTATTGGTACAATGTCAAATTACTTGAGTGAAGAAAAGCATCAGTAAGATTTACTGCAAATTCCTTATTCAAAGGAAAGCTTCTTGATTGACTGGTGCCAGGGACCAAGTCATTGGCAAATTATTCTTCCTCTTAAATTAATGCTATGGCCTATGAATAAAGAACAATCATGGGAAATCACTACTAAACCCATACCAAGAAACCTCTGGACTTTCGAGAAAAAGAAAAACATACCTTCCGTTTTTTACCCTTCACCGCCTTATTTCCACCTACAAAAAAAAAACATAATAACCAAATCCGCCAAAGCTTCATAAATGCAGTTACTTATTAATGATAAAGAAGTTTAAAATCACAACGTTTTAGAGACATCAAAAACATAAAAGCATTTTATCTTAAACAGATCTACAGGGCATTGGAAGGCTAGACTCAACCATTTGGATTTTTCACACGGATATTCATTATAAGGTCATGAACATATCACATAAAGCACCAGTAGCTTCTTGTCTGGAACGGGGAATTTGGATGTTCCATCAGAAACAAATTTTTACTGCCTTTGACGCTGCCAGCAAAACAGGACTTCAATCCGTTGATCAAGTACAATGTCAAGTCTTAAATGGATCTACAGTTTCTTTTTCCAAATATAATATCCAAAGTAAAAGTTTATTAAACACTTAATGGTGACTCAATAATGCTGACATAAGCAAGAGTAGCCTATATCCATGAATTCTAAAATTTTCAACACTTGTTGATCCCTATCAAGTGTTTGATGGCATGATGCACATTAAACCTAGCCAAACAAGTGCCAATGATCAATAATTCTCCTTTCTGCATATGGTCAGGCAAATACCCGCAGACGCATTATACGGAGCTTGAAAAATGAGCTGCATTGCTGACAACTTGTGAACAGTGCAACTAGCCACAGGTTTCATATTTTATATTGAATGATCTGAGATTCTTTTTAAAAAAAAAAAAAAAAATTGTCCCGTAAACATTTAGAGGGAAGAGAGGGAGAGAATGGTAACCGGCATCCTTTTCCTTTGTCTTTTTCACTCTCTTCTTGGACCCTTCATCCTGCAACAAAAGCCAAAAAGACCTCAGCTTGCATTCTACCTTAATAGGAAGCACTTAGAGCCTTGAAGGAAAACCTATCCCCAAACTAAGTAAAAGAGATTCAGAAAACAAGCTACAGAAGAAGAAGAGGAAGAAGAACCAGATCTATGATCCTTTTTGAACCAGCATCCTGCAACTTTTTGGTGGAATCTGGAAAACATCAATAACTTCAATTATCACAATTTCCGAAATATAACTACCCAAAAATGTATAAACTAACTACCTTTTGATGATGAAAGTTTCTTTGGGGTTCTTGGAGCCTTCTGAAAATGGAAGAGTTTAAAGAATCAATCAATCTGACCAACGTCTAGAGGTACTGAGCGGTAGATTAAATTTTATGTCACTAGAAAGCAAGATATCCTGAACGAAGCACTAAGGTTTTCAGACTGACAGAAGAGGAACATTCATGATCTAATTATCTCCTGTTTGAAAGGTCCAATAAAAGAAATAAACAAATTATAGCATAATTTGAAGATTATGATTTTGCACAATTAAGCTATATAGGGAGGTTTACAATATCCCAGACTGAGACACAGAACAATAGTCCCTTGTTTTCTTTTCATATATCTCTTTAAAGCTCTACATTTTAGTTATCCAGTTCAAAAGATTGATCCATTTTCCAAGCCTACCTGGTACACAATATTTGTAGATATCCCTGTTTTTAATCAGTGTTTCTTTTACACACACAATAAACACAGAACAATCCAATGATTTACAAACCACGGCAAACATGTTCTCCATTGTTAAATGATTACCCAAAACTGACCCCATAATTAGACAAAGTAGAACTCCCCGTTAGAAATTTTAGGGCTAAAGAAGATACTGTTACGACTAAAGAGATATCACCTGTGATTGTCTTACGAATTAAATGCAGATCATGGAACAAATGCAGAATGCATGGCACTGTTCTATTATCACAGTATCCCATAAAGGAATACTTAGCTATATACCCATACAAAGACTCAAGTTGATATTGCACGCATGACTTTTAGATGGATCAGAAGTAAAACTATCTCGTCTATGACAGTTCATAATTTTTGGTCCTCCCATATCCCACCAAAAGCCATGCAATAATGAGAAAATGTATGCTTAAATCATCCAAGAGAATATTGAAACCGGAGAGTCGAAATTCTTTGTGTACTTAAAGACTAACCTAAGATTGACAAGCAAAATAGAAGTTGCACTAACATATAACATACAAGGGGAGTTGGAGTATCGTAAATTTTGTCCTCAACACTTCTCTACATTTTATTCCCATGCCAAAATTTAAAGTGAAATCTCACCTTTTCTTCCACCTTTTTGAATAATGTGGATAAAGTAGCTTGGACAAGTGAACCATGATTACTGCTTGAAACTTCCTGAGTTGCAGATGTGGAAGAAACTTGAGAGACCTTTTTAGATATAGATCCTGAAGCACACTTTCTATTTTCCTCAGGGAGCTGAATTTCTTCTGCAGCATCCTCATTAGCATCACCAACCACCATGTATGGACTTTCTTTCTGCATCAATGACTTAAAGGACATCACATACAGGTGCACATAAGATACATACTGTGCAATGAAGTTCTAAAATTCTAGGTCGATCAGGTATCAATAATATCAAACTCCAAGGGAACCAATGATATATTTATGATATTATGACCACTGGCAGCAGTGATAACTTACTTTTTCCTCGTGATCAGAGAGATCTGGGCTGCTTTCAGGAGATTCATCACTAGAAGCATCTGCAAATCTAAACCAATAATAAAAGTTAAATGACGGGGCTTTGAAGTTTAAATCAAAGGTGGCGTAAAATTTAACTGCAACCAGGCAATTTTATCCACTTTGAATTTCAGTCATGTGTTAATTTATTGAAAACACACACATCCCATACTCATCTTCAAAGATTAGAAATTGGACATCCTGTATCTTGTTATACTCAATAAGCATACTTATTTAAGTGCTTCTTAGCTCAATACTTAAATATAAGCAAGCATAATTCTGAGTGAAATTCTTAGTTCCTTAGGAAATAATTATTTCTTCAGTTGTCACAACTTCAGGGCAGGAAGGCAACAGTTACAAAGTGATCTTATGCAGGAAAGGAGGCTAATACTTATATGATTTTCTTGGGGTTCTTTCTGAGCGTCGAACTGGAACAACCTCCTCTGTGTCTTTTTTATTGTTTTCACTGTCGGAAAAATCATCCTCAGGGGGGGTCTTTGGTGATTGTTTCTCAGCACATTGCATCCTATTTTTGGGGACACCTTGATTAACTGCAGACGCAGCACCTGCACCACCTTTAAAGTCATATTCAGCTGGTTGTCCCTGAAACGTAAAGTTAAATCACAAGATACTTCACTCTCTCACTATGCCGAACTAGAAAAGTAAAACTTGCAAGTAAGAACTAATGTTTTAAAATGCACTGACCTCATAGAATTCCTTAGGAAATTCAAGTCTGGCTTCTTCTGGGTTCTCATCTTTTGTCCCAATCCACCATGCATCCGAAAATACAATCTTGTATATTCAAGATGTTGTCAATAATGCATGTAATTATAACCGACTGAATTCCCAATTGTAGAAGATACAAATTTGGAATTGAAGAAGTAAAAAGAGACGCATGTAATTCTTAGTCCCTGACCAACAAAGTCAAAAAGAGTAAAAGGAAAGAATGCTTACTGTTGCTACAACTAAACAGGAATACAATACAGGGGAGAGAAGTTAAATAAAACATAGGTTCGAAGCCTATCATGAGCACAGGCATCAAAATTACAATTGAATCACAAAACTTTAAAAGAAAGAAAAAGAAATTTCAAGAATCTTTGTTGGCAAACTACTTCATAGATTCTCAAAATAACAGGAGGCCTTTAGTCAACTCCACTCACAAAATTTAGTGCAGATGCTTCAGTTATCCCTTTAGATGGAAGTGACAAGGTCTTTTAAATACAATGGCTAAAATTGATAGGGTTTTTAGCTGCAATTCAGGTCCAGCTTTATGATTTTCAACGAACACCTGATTTTTCTAATACAAAAGCCACTCTTGAAGTCAAGGGCTCTACAGGTGGAAGTTTTGTTAGGCATGCTATGAACTATAAATGTAGAAGTAGTTAAGTCGGTTAATAGTAGTGATAGCATCATAACAGCTAAGGGATTGAGTTATTTGAAATTCTAACTAACTCTGGTATAGCCATACAAAAACCATTGTTGAACGTTATGTGTATTGATGGAATCTGATTTCCAAGTCTCTCTGCCTGTTCTCTATTTTCCGATCATTCTATTCTCTTTTCAACTATTGTCTGACTGACTAGTTCCCTTACAAGTGACACATCAATCCGAAGTATGTTGAGGGTGGGGAGAACCAACCATATTGTCAAAATAATCCTCGCACATTGCATTCTTTCCGCCTCGGGAGAACTGCAAAGTCAGGTATCTGTTCTTTGGATATACGATAGTCCCAAATAACTTCATTTGGCCCTGAAAAGGAAAAGGCAGAAATAGATTATAACATGAAAATGCATATTGCTAGAATCCACCGTAGCCCATGAAAACTTCATAACTTCCTAGGGTTCACAAGTTTGAAAAATGCTCCAAACTAAGTAAAAGCAAGTAAGCAATTGAACTTAAAATGACCTCTTTCTTAAAAGTATAACTGCTTCAACGCTTAGAAGGGTGTACTCATATTGGCACAAGCTTCACTTTCACAGTTCTATTGCATAGGATTTCTTGTTTTTCTTTTAAAATGATTTCTATGAAAGTGAAGCTTGTGCCAATACGAGTACACACCAAAAAAACAAAATGAACAAAAGAGACCACGGATCTGGGAATATATCGACAATGGAAATTTGCAATCACAAATAGTAATGTGAATAGAAGGTTAACGAAATTACGCCAGCAGAAACTCCTGAAATGCGTCAGTCAATTCACATGCAACTATATTCTTTTCCTGTTGACTAATTACTAATATACTATGATCACTTAGGATCCACAACATAGCACATATGTAAATCAAAACCTCAAGAGTGAGTCAAACAAAGAAATGAAGAACCTGAGGGAAGTCGAGGTAGAGAATGGGGTTTTTAGTTCCCAAATCCTTAAGCTCGCCAATCTTTCCACCGCCAGTGGGGGCAATGAGGCCCGGAAAGGAGAATAAGTACCTGTTCTTTCTCTGAGATTTTCTGAGAATGTCTGAACCGTGATGCTTAACTACTGTCTTAGAAGGCTCGAGATGAACATGGCTCTTCGCGGGCGTCTCAGAGAGTATGCTCTTAGAAAGGGCCAACCCTTTGAGCCTCTTGCGCTTTATCGCTTCCGGATTTGGCTCCCCACCTGCTTCCCTCTTCTTCGCTGCACGCACCATTCTGATTTCTGATGACTATCTCTTCTCAATGGACTCCGAACTGAAGCGGAGACATTTTTGATTCTCGGATTCAGATCACCTGAAGCAGGCGTCTCAAAGTGCACCCGAATAAAGGGAATGTCAGCCGTTCGATAGACCGAACCGAACATATTTCGACACGTCTTCAGAAAAACTTCAAATACCAGAAAAACCGAAAAATTATATTTTTTTTACTGAAAAATAAAAATTATTTCATTCAAAGGATTTTTCTAAAAAATTATTATAACAGACATATTTTTTCGCCAAATAACAAACTTATAAGGTAATAAAACAAAGCAATTCCAAATATGACAAATAAGTAATTTTGGTTAAAAAATATAAATATTTTACCAAAAAATATAAAATTATCGTTTCTAGGTCCAATAACACAATCATCTTCCCGCTTCCACCTAGTATCTATTATTCTGAGTTACAAAATTTACAATCAACGCTCTAATAAGTAATAGCTGATGTTGGCACCCAAAAAAAAAAAAAGCCTGATTTTGGCTTCGCCCTCATCACTCTTGCGTGCTCATGTATTTTATCAAAAAGATTTCTTTCACTCCCAATTCTAAGAGATGTTTAGTAAACCCAAAAATACTGTTTTTACCAAAGTGAAGATAAATTTTTTTATATATATTTATTGCGCACATCATACCCAAACATTCTCTTAACCTCATCTCTTTATATAAAGCAAGTTTTGTAACATTAAAGGTGATTGGATGAGTGTCTTAAGAGTAATCTTTCGATGTTGGAGATAAACATGTATCCGAAAGAAACACTGCCAATGATTGAATCAGGGAATCTTGCCATCTATTGGCACTTGTACTTTCTTTATGCATGGCTATCGCATAAGGGGACCCAGAAAATTTAGTATAAAAAGGTTTTTGGCCATAAAATGCGGTTTCAGACTAGCCTGTAGCTTTTTTTATTTTTAGAAGGTATTTGGATAGAAACCAAACTATGATTTTAAAAGTGATTTTATAGTTTACAAAATAAATATGTAAAAAAAATTATTTTATTTTACAGAAAAACACTTTTTAGAAGAACTTTTGAGGGATGCCAAACACTCCTTTATTTTGGAATTCCATTATCCTTTTTTCTTAATAAAAAAAAAAGGGGTCCACCAATCGGACTGGCGGCGGGACTCTCTCTCGGCCTGTTTTGCAAGGTCCAACCATTCCACGTAGGCTGGGCCACATCAAACCGTGTGTTGAGCCGAGAGCGGGTATTAAGCCGTGCTTTGAGTGTGGGATGGTTCAGAAGTTGGGCCCACTTTTCTTTTGGAAAAAAGAAAACTTGGCCCATTGTGCTTACCAGTAAAAAAAAAAAAATCTGCCTCTCCCTCCCAACCTCGAACCCCCTCAGGCCCTAGCCTCCCGAAAGTAACTCTGGAAATCCCGCATCACGCCATTGGAGACACCGGACCAGACTAGAGACCTCGAAATCGAATCGCCTCACTCACGCCGTTTCCATTCGAATCCTCCTCACCTCCGTTGCTTAGCTTCTGAGTTTCAGCTTTCCGGTTTACAGCGTCCTCTCCTCCCTCACCTGCTGGCTGCGCCTCCGGTTCGTGACTCCGACAACGTCTCCGAGACCTGTCCATTGCAAGGGTGTTCGTCGTTCACCTTACTCCTCCATTCCCTCCATTCTCCCTGCTTCGTCTTCTTCCTTCCTACCTTGTAAGTTTATCTTTTCTGATTCTTTCAATTGTTCAGCTCTAGCTTTCAGACTTAAAAATTAGGATGATGTAGTGGCTGTGGACCAAAAGTAACTCCTTTTATTGGGAACCAAATCCTTTGTTCACCTGAAGTCCTTAGATGCTCAATATTGCAGAAGTATGGTTTCGATATTTCAAGCAACTTAGCAATGCAAAGCAGTAGCAAGGTTTAGGGCTATAGGAACGCATAAGCACAACTCATAATTATGAGATGAATCAGTACTTGGCTTGTATTTGCTCTATGGAACTAGTGTCTTCATCTTGTTAATTAATGCAAACCAGATGGGTAGGATTTTTTATATAAGATCATTGTGTTGTTATTCAGTACTCATTATCTGTTTGATGGCTTTTCCTTTATGAATATACAGAGACAATAGCAGACAATATTATAACTTATAAGCATTTTCATAGGCTTCGTTTTGCTGTTACATTGCGTGGGAGTTATTTTGTTACCACCTGCTGTAGAATCTGTACTAGCTTTTGCCTTATAAACTCTTATGCGATGGATAACTCTGGCGCATTCATTGACTTGAGAATTTATATTATGTTTCTTGATTACATGTGCCCCCCCCCCAAAAAAAAACATAATTATAGTGTACATGTGTCTTTGTCTAAGGGTTTTTCTTTTTGGTGTTGAATCTTCAATGTAATGCATTAGTTTGTTGCAAAATCAAATAATTAGATAACATAATGCTGGTTATAAACATGGCAAAAGATAAGAAAGCATCACTTAATTGTGGTCAGGATAGTGATTAAAATACATAAATACTTATCGTGCGAAGATTTCAGGCCTGTATGTTTCTTTTTTTTCTCCTCAAAACAATTTTATAAAACTGCTTTTTTAAAAATAACTTTTGAAAAAAAAAAAAAAAAATCTGTTTGGACAATTGTTCTAAAAATTACATTTCAAAATAAACATACTGAAAACAACATTAGATGATTCTAGGATTTGTGCCCCCTTAGCATTCTGCTTTTGATTAATATCTTTATCTTCTTGTAGAAAAGCAGTTTGGATGGTCCTCTATTGGCTGATAATATAACTTCAGGAATTTAATAGGTTATTCTTGAAAATGGGTTTTCAATCAGATACGGTAACTTTGAATGGGTCACAAGAATCAGGAGTATTGATTGAACCATTGGCTTAAAACAGTTTAATTTAATTGATGCCATATAAACTTCTATCCTATTGGCAGTCATTCTGTCTCAAGGTTTTGTTGCCAATTTAATAGTGCTTTTATAAATTTAAAGCCAAAATATTATGGGGTCAGGCTTCCGTAAAGCTGGCAATTCTGCAGTTGGAAAAGGACTAACTCGGCCTCCTTTGAGGGCAGCAGTGTCCCAGGTGGCCCTTATTAATGGCCTGATCGGTATTCTTCACCCCATTGTTGCTGCCTCTTACTCTCCCTACTGACACCTCCTCCTTCTTTCTCCATTTTCTCCCTTCTCTAGCTCTCCTAGTATTCTGTAAATTTCTTATCCAAATTAAAAAGAACAGACACACACTCACATAATTACTGAATTAAAATAAACTCCTGATTCCCACTAGCGAGTCCTCATTCATAATTGCGCTCAGTTTTTTTCTTTCTTTCTTTCTCTTTTTTTTTTTGACGGTTTTGCAAAGTAGAAGAGGTTTGAGTTGCTTTATTGTGTAATGAATCTCACTTTTTGCTAGCTATAGGTTAGCAAAGGGAAACCTAACCAACCCCCCCCCCCAAAAAAAAATGTTTTTCTTAATTTCTTGGTGTTGTTCTTGCTAAATTCTCCCTGCTAATTCATGCATGATTTATTCTGTTATGCCAGATGTATTTAATGAATCCCATTTTGTTTGTCATATGAAAAGCATCAAGTGAACGAGATTTATCTATTTTTCTCGAGTCTGAATACCTTTGGATTTACTAATTTCTTTGGGTTATTCTTTTAATTTTTAGGTTTTCTGCCTCTAAAGATGGATGAATATCAAGAGATGGAGAGATTTGGTATGGATAATGATTTTGAAGGCGGTGAATGGATTGGTGGTGAGTTCTACTATCGAAAGCGCAAAGAAAAACGCACTCAAACTAGAGAAGATGTTCTTTATGGGGTGTTTGCAGACTCTGATGATGACGATGATGATTATTCAAGCAGAAAACGGAGAAAAGATCGTGACTTATCTAAGAAGCCTGACCTCAGCAAGCCTGTGAATTTTGTCTCTACTGGAACTTTTATGCCTAATCAAGATGATAACCATTCTAAAGAACAGATTGAAGAAGAAAGTTATGCTAGTGAGGATAGGCCAGGTTTAGGTCTTGGCATGGGGACTTCTAGCACTTCTGGTTCTGGGTTAGGTTTTAATACCAGTCATCGTGAAAATGCTTCTGATGGTGATAATGATGATGATGGTTTTCTGCCTACAGCGTTTGGAAAGAAGATTCATGAGGGAGCAATGAGAAGGGAGAAGGAAAAGGAGAGAGCAAAATTGGAGAAGAAGAGAGCTCAAGGGAAAACTCAAGCTGAAGATGGATTTTCAGATGTTGGGAAGTTTGAGAAGTATACAAAGGGGATTGGAATGAAGTTGTTGGAGAAAATGGGCTATAAAGGAGGTGGTCTTGGGAAGAATGAACAGGGTATTGTAGCTCCTGTTGAGGCCCATATGAGGGCCAAGAATACAGGCATTGGATTTAATGACTCGAAGGCCACAACTCCTTTGCCAAGTGTGCAAGTTGAGAAGACAGCATTGCCAGGAGTTGCTCAACCTACGACTGTCAGAGCAAAGGAAAGATTATGGTCAAAGAAATCAAGGTCAAAGAAGAAGAAAGATGAGGAAGATTATATTACTGCTGAGGAATTGTTAGCAACCAATCAAGAACAGGGTCTGGAGGTTGTTCAGAAGGTTTTTGATATGAGAGGGCCACAGGTTCGAGTAATTACAAATTTGTCTGATTTGAATGCTGAGGAGAAGGCTAAGGAAAATGATGTTCCAATGCCAGAGCTTCAACATAACGTGGGGTTAATTGTTAGGTTGGCTGAGGTAGATATCCAAGAGATTGATAGAAATTTGAGGGGAGAGAGGGAGACGGCACTTAGCTTGAAAAAAGAAAAAGAGAAGTTAGAAATTGAGGCAGCACACCAAAAAAAGCAGTTGGAAGATTTGGAGCAAATAACAAGTGTGCTGGACCGAGTCGGAGAAGAGAACTCAATGGGGACATTGACATTGGATTTGCTTGCCCAGTGCTTTGCTGACTTGCGGAAAAGATACACTCATAGCTACAAGTTGTGTAACTTGTCATGTATTGCTTGCTCATATGCTTTGCCTTTGTTTATTAGAGTATTCCAAGGATGGGATCCTCTTCGAAATCCATCACATGGGTTAGAATTGGTATCACGGTGGAAAACATTGCTTCAAGAAGAAGAGTGCCTTGATATCTGGGATGTAACATCACCTTATACTCAATTGATTTCTGAAGTTGTATTACCAGCTGTTAGGATTTCAGGCATCAATACCTGGCAGGCACGTGATCCTGAGCCAATGTTACGGTTTCTGGAGTCATGGGAAAAGTTGCTTCCTTCTTCAGTTCTCACAGCCATGTTGGACAATATAGTCATGCCAAAATTATCAAGTGCTGTAGATACATGGGAACCACATCGTGAGACAATTCCTATCCATACTTGGGTGCACCCATGGTTACCTTTGTTAGGGCACAAGTTAGAGGGAATGTACCAGATGATACGCTTCAAATTGAGTACTGTTCTTGGTGCTTGGCATCCGAGCGATGGCTCTGCTTATGCTATATTGTCACCTTGGAAGACCGTATTTGATTCAGTGAGTTGGGAACAGCTCATGCTTCGATTTATTGTGCCAAAGTTGCAGCTTGTCTTGCAAGAGTTCCAAGTGAATCCAGCTGATCAGAAACTTGATCAGTTTTATTGGGTGATGAATTGGGCTTCTGCTGTCCCAATTCATCTGATGGTTGATATAATGGAAAAGTTCTTCTTCACCAAGTGGCTTCAGGTTTTGTATCATTGGTTGTGCTCAAACCCTAACTTTGAAGAAGTAACAAAATGGTATTTGGGTTGGAAAGAGCTTATTCCAAAGGAACTTCTGGCTAACGAAAGTATTAGGTATCAGCTAAACCGTGGTCTTGATATGATGAACCAGGCTGTTGAAGGTATGGAGGTGGTCCAGCCTGGCTTGAAAGAAAATATCAGCTATCTTAGGGTACTTGAGCAAAGGCAGTTTGAGGCTCAGCAGAAAGCAGCAGCTAATGCTCAAACCCAAGCTCCTTCAGGCTTGGGGGGTGCTGCCCATATGGAGAGTGCAGCAGGTGTGCATGAGATGAGCTTAAAGGAAGTCATTGAGGCCCATGCCCAGCAACATGGTTTGCTATTCAAGCTGAAACCTGGCAGAATGCATAATGGTCATCAAATATATGGGTTTGGTAATGTCAGCATCATAATAGATTCCCTAAATCAAAAGGTATATGCCCAAACTGAGGATGCATGGTCTTTGGAATCTCTCCAAGGCTTACTGGAGCTGCATAATAAGTCCATTGGTCGGAGACGAGGATTGTAAGGTGACTTCTAAAGGAGTTTGTGTAAAAGTATCCTTAAGTCGTAGTTGGTTCTATCTCAGGAGTCAATTTCGTCAACATTACTTGTTTTAAGAGAGTTTTATAATATTTCTGACACACACAGCTTTCTTTCTTTGTTTTTTTTTGGGGGGGGGGGGGGCCTCAAATGGGCACTATGTTTTCTGTAGTATGCTAGCTTTTTGTTGTCCATACCCATTGATAGCAACTTGCCATGTTATTGCAACCTACTGAAATTTTGTAAACTTCCTTATTTTGGCCAATCTACTAACTCCGATGGTGAATCTCCTTTTTATTAGCTGCACTCACGTGTTATTCCTTGAAGCTGCATCAATATCAGAATTCAGAAATCTTGGTTCCATCTACCTATTCACCAGGCTCAATGTTTTTGAAGAATTGTAGAATGAAATGATTCGCGATTTTGATTTAGAACTTGAAATGATGATATCTAGTTCTCCAGCTAATACTTATCTTCTGTACGTGTCCGGTGTTAGGCGTCTAATGTTATTGGAGACCCACGGATATTAAGAGTTACGTTTTTGTTCTATGCTTTGTATAAATGAAGAGTCAGCTTAGTATAAGTGAAGAGTCAAGAACCTTGATTCTCAATGGATAATCTTGAGGTTACAAATTCATGCCATACTGCCGATCATTGACTTTGAAGAGTAAACTTTGAAGCACGGTTTGTATGTTTTGTTGAAGGACTGTTCATCCACAATGGTTTATTCGTAATGCGGGAAGGAGAAGCCTAAAGTGCAGTTCCTGTGTAAAGTATGAGCTTGGTGTACCCTCCTGCATACTCAACATTTTTACTTGTATATCATGAATAAAAAATGGTATAGCATAATTAAGACCAGAGCAGTGTGACATTTATTACAGCCTGTAACATCTGGGGTAGTCTCAATTAGGAAATCCGTTTGAGGTATGCTTGTCCAACTCTGTCCCTTCTGCCCTTAAGTGGGCTTAGTCCTTGACTAACGGTATTTCTAGGTTCTTTTTCTCGTTTTCGTGTATTACTGGTCTGGTTGTTGATTACAAGTGTTTATCGCATTGCTTCTCAATCGAACCCGAGTTGATTATAAGGACTTACTTCGTTCGTCTGGCATGTTGCTTCTAGTTTTTACTAATCTTTTTGCCCCCTTAATGAAAAAGGGCAGAGCATCTGATCTTATTTGTAGTGAAATTATCTCTGAAGTATTATTGTTTTGCCTCCAGTATTTCTAATGCTAATGGATCTCATTCGCTCTCTAAGACAAGTAATTACTTCGTCAGAATTTTTTCCACACATTTAATATTTGTAAATATTGGAAAAAAATGCATTTTATGATGTCCATGTAATGGGTAAAATGCATTTACAAATTGAAACATATTTAGCTCTCGTAACGCCCTAAGTTAATTATGTTTTTAAATATCTTGAGATTTTAAATAACGAGGATTATATTCTATTGAGCGTTAGTAAAAAAATGTGCACGGGGTGTGCGTGCGAGAGTTTAAACTAATTAAAAGAAAAATAATACTCCTCCGGTCCTTAATATAAGACTCATTTAACTAATTTGATTAGATTAAGAAAGTTAGGTAAGTTAGTTAATTATAAGAAAAATGATACATTTTTCCTAAAACACCATAATCATCTTTTTTAATACTCTATCTCCCTTTTCTATTTGATTATGGTTGATGGAGTATCCATAGGGTAATTTAGGAAAAATTAATAAATATGAGAAATGAGTCTTATATTTAGGATCAAAACCAACTCAAAAATCGGGTCCTATATTAAGGACCGGAAGAGTATAAATCAGGAGATTAAAATGGGTGAAATTTTGATCCTTGTAATATATATATATATTCAGTATCAAGTCACGTGCGATTTTTTCGCGCACGCTTGAATGAATGAATCACCACTGATGATCTGCATTCGATTTTCTGGGGGGGGCAAGAGTAGAAGTATAGTGTTTGGGGATTAGGAGGAGTGATTTTTAGAAATATTTTTTTTGTAAATTGAGATAAATTTTTTTATATATTTATTTTGAAAACCGTAAAATTATTTTTGAAATTTTGGTTTCCACCCGCACTGACTACTTGATTTTTCTAGTATGTTGCAGTCTTGCCTCTTGGAACGCAAAACATTATGACCGAAGGATAGAATCAAAAAAAGTCAAAACCTCAAGATTGGATCCAACGGAAACCATTAAGACACGTCAACCATGGACCTGCAGATTGCAGAAACGCTGCGTTTGGAGGGTGCCGATATGCTGTCTTCGATCACCCAACTCCCAAATGCTCTGGGCAGCAAATCCCCTTCAACTTCAATCCTTCTTCTCTGCATCTCCTTTGATTCGAAGCTATCGGAGTTCGCTGTGCTCTTGTCGTGCCTCATCTGCTTAGCCATGCATTATCTCCACCTTTTGTGTCCATTTTCAAGGTATGCATTGCCCAAAATTGGTCACTTTCTTCCACCACCTTTGTCTCTCATGCTTCCCTCTTTCTATCATTCCCTCAATCCCGAGTTCTTTGCTCATTCCCAAACTTTTAACGCAATGAATATCGGCGACAGCGTTGCTTCGTTCAATCGCTTACTACGTATGCACCCCCCGCCTTCCATCATCCAAATTAACAAGCATTTGGGATCAATTGCAAAGGCTAAACACTATCGAACTGCGATCTCATTGTTTGCTCAAGCGGAGTTCAAGGGATTCATACCTGATTTATGTACCCTGAACGTCTTGATCAATTGTTACTGCCATGTGGGTCAGATGAATTATGCTTTCTCAGTATTGGGAAGGATTCTCAAAATGGATATTCGACCAGATGTGATAACAGTTAATACTTTATTAAAAGGACTCTGCATTAGCAACAAGGTTGGGGAAGCGTTAGACTTTTATGATGACTTAACGGCTAAAAGATTTCAATTCAATGAACTTAGTTATGGCACCCTGATCAACGGACTGTGTAAAATAGGGAAAATAAGATCTGCTGTTAAATTGGTCCAAATGATGGAGAAGAAGGGAATTAAATCTAATCTAATCATCTATAGCACTATCATGGATAGCCTTTGCAAATGTGGCCATGTTATTGAGGCGCATCAGTTTTATTCAGCAATGATTGATCAAGGAATTCTGCCGTGTATTATTACATATACATCTCTAATCCGTGGCTATTGCAGCGTGGGACAGTGGAAAGAAGCTACCCAATTGTTTCATGAAATGGAATTGAAAAGCATCAAACCCGATATTCATACATTTAATGCATTCATTGATGCATTTTGTAAAGAAAGGAGGATTGTTGAAGCTCAAACCATGTTTGCTAGGATGATGAAATGTGGTGAGAGACCGGATGTTGTAACTTACGGTTCTTTAATGAATGGATACCGTCTGATGAATAACGTGAATGAGTCAAAGAAAATATTCTCCAAGATGGTTCAAAGCGGTGTAACAGCTGATGCAATTAGTTATAGTATACTGATCAATGGATTTTGTAAGATTAAAATGGTCGATACAGCATTAGATCTCTTTCGAGAAATGCGCTGCAAAAGCTTGGTTCCTGATGTGATAACATATAATTCTCTTATTGATGGCCTTTGCAAGTCAGCGAGAATGTCAGAGGTGCGAGATCTTGTTTATGAGATGTATGAAAGCGGTCATGCCGCAAATACAGTCACCTATAGTATTTTGTTAGATGCATTTTGCAAAAGTCAAAATCTTGGTCAAGGGATTGCACTATTTAGGCAGATGGTTGCCCAGAGAATTCAACCTGATGTATACACATACAATATACTTGTTGATGGCTTGTGTAAAGGAGGCAGACTACATGACGCTCGAAAGATTTTTCAATACCTTTTGACCAGTGGCTATCATCTAGATGTCTACACATATAACATTATGATCAGTGGGCTTTGCAGCAAAGGCTTGTTTGATGATGCTATGTCCTTGCTTTCAAAAATGGGAGCAAATGGATGTCTCCCTAATTCAGTAACATATAAAACTCTTATTCAAGCTCTTTTGGAGAATAGAGAGAATGATAACGTTGAGAAGCTTCTCCGTGAAATGATTGGTGGTGGTCTTGTAAAATGATAAAATATGGTTGGATGCACTAGTCCTACTATTGATTATAGTTGTGTACTGTAAATGTTTAACTTGGCCTTCAAAGGCTAGCAATTTCCTGTTTCATTCCAATTAAAATTGTTTGATCATACAGTGAAGTAAATGTTCTTGGAGAAATTTTGTTCAAGCAATATGTTTTACACATTTATTTTTACCTTATGTTTGGTAGTGAATAATTTGCCTTGAACATGAGTTTGTTCCTCTTTTTATAGTTTATTCTGGTTCTGACTTATAACCTTTCGGGCTTGTTTCTGTTCTTGAATCAGAGTTGCAGCTAAAATATAGTTTTTTTGGATTTATATAATTCCTTGCACTATTTTTTGGACCACATTAAAGGTCCATTTGGCTCTTATACAACCAAGAAAATCGATGTCTGAATTTATTTTGGAGTATAAGACAAATCAAAGGTACATGAGTCTGTGTTACCCTAATGTTAAAGTTGAATTTGCTTGAATGGTTTCCAAGTGTTTGTTTCTTATGGCAAACCGAATGAATATCATTTCTTTTTGTTGTTTTTTGTCCAAGTTCAAAGTCCTTTGGGATGCCTGTTCCAAGAGAAGGTCAGGTTGGCTATGATGAATGTGTGATGCTTGGATCATTGCATCTCCTGGAATTATATGATTTGAAGCATAATAGAAAATAATTTTATTCGCAGGTTTGACTGTTTTTTATTTATTCATTGCATCTAGCTTTAGGCAGAACTGTGTATGACATTCCTCAAAGAACGTTGGTCGTGACAACTATACTTCATAGCAATTTTCTGCAGCAACTAATCAGAGAATTCTACAATATTTTTGGATTCGATAACTTGTGTGAGTTCATGATTGGTACTTTTCAGATGTTGGCATGCAGGTTATCAGTTATTGAACCTCTAGGTGAAAGTCACATTCTCCATCTTGAAAAGGAGAGATTTGGAATCCGATTTACTCTCAAAATTTCATAATCTATTGGACCTTAACAATTTTGGTGTTCGATCAAGAGTGCATTTGGACTTGCCACCATAATTATAAATGCTGCCGTTTCCTCACTAGATGAAGGATCAATTGGGGCTACATTGCTTTTGGACTATATCCAAAGTGGGTGTACTCATCTCAAATTTTCTGGAGCTCAATTGCATCAAAAAAGACCGTATTTCTATCTTTTTCCCATTCATTTGTTTTCCTCAGGTAGCATTACTATCATGAATAATTTTGCCCATCTCACCAATCACAAAGCAGTCCACCAACGCTTCTCTTCAACTTGTTTAGTACCAGGGAGAATCATTTTGAAACAGTGACAACAATGATTCATCAGAACTTTGTTCTTGTCCTTGCTACTAGGAATGAAGGCCAATATCATAAAATTAAAAATGATTTCATGATGATTGTTGTTTTGGCTCTCACAATTGCCCGGGATGATGTTACCGCAGGCATTCAAAACCGAGTCTTTTGGGTTGCTTATACTTTTTCTCTCTTGAATTGATTTGGATCCTCCCATAGAGTAAATACTTGTTTACCTTGTGATTGCCTTTTGTTTACAGAACTGGCTTGTTCAGTTTGGCACCTTAACACTTCCCTGCTCATTGTGCTTTTCTTGTCTGTCGCCTATAAATTGCCATTGGCTGCTGCACTTGAGGACTGTCATGTAGCTACTGCAGTGATTCTTTTTAAAGGGATAATGCTCTCCGTTTGCTACCAGCCACTACGCATGCCTTTGACCTTAAGGGCAAGGTCAATGTCATGGGGAAGGCAATGTTATGATCCAGAAATATATGGACCTAATGAGAAGAAATGGGCCAAAGCTTATTAAATTTGGCTCAAGTAGGTGGAATCCAAATAGGGTTTGGAGATGGGAATACGAAGCAGAAGGGGAGGCAGTGTTGGGGTGGGGGGTGGGGGTTCGAAAATTGTTGTGTGGGTCTTCTCCCTGTGCTTCTGATATCCTCTCTTCTCTCTGAATTTATGCTTCTTCTTCTAATTTCTTTATGGCCGTAATTCTGAATATTGATCTAAGCTCTGTGACTGAATGTTTACTAATATTACCTCCGATCCTTAGTATAAGACCTTGTTTGATTTTATTTTGATCCTAAATATAAGATCCCAATCTACTTTGTTTATCATATTTATTCATTTTTTTTCAAAATAGTCCTTCTTCTAGCTCATACACTTTATTAATAAGAATATATTGGGAAAAACAATATCTATTTATTACAAATAACTAATTTAACCTATTTTCTTAATCTACTCAAATTAGTCAGTTAGCTTTTATATTTAGAACTGAAGAGAGTATTTTATATCAGTTCAATTGTTTTGTGCTTATTTTTCTGGTCTAAATCAGTAACCATATACATTGTTGCGGGTAAGATCATTACAGTGTCTCCATGGAGTTTCTCTGGTTCATTCTACTTGAGATAGATCAGTGAAGAGAAGAAATGTTAATTGCTGTTTATACAGGAGGATGGAGAAATTGAGGAGACGTTTCTCATAGAATACAAATTGGCTGGTTAAAGTGGAGGAAAGCTACTGGAGTTATTTGCAATAAGAAGGTACCTGAGAAACTTAAAGGAAAATTTTATCGGATTACTATAAGACCGGCTATGTTGTATGGTAGTGAACGTTAGGCAATAAAGGGAAAACAAGAGCACAAAGTTGGGGTAGCAGAAATGAGGATGTTGAGATGGATGTGTGGTCATACAAGAAAAAATAGGATTCGAAATGAAAATATCAGAGTAAGAGTCGGTGTGGCACCTATCCAAGAGAAAATAGTTGAAAATTGCTTAAGATGGTTTGGACATGTACAGAGAAGGCCATTGGAGGCCTCGGTGAGGAGGGTAGATAAGACAAGATGGAGTCCCATAAAAAGGAACAGAGGAAGGGACAGAGGAAGACCAAGAAGAACGCTTAATGAGATCATTGAATGAGACCTCCTAGTCAACAATAAATCTAAGGACTGGGTTGTTGACAGAGCACGATGGCGTTGTGTGATTCATGTAGCCGACCCCACCTAGTGGGATAAGGCTTGTTGTTGTTGTTGTTTAGATAATGCCTTCCTTGACTCATCTCTGATTCAAGGGTTTTAGTGGATTAAATCATCATCTCGACCAGCACCTCAATTTCATATTGCTTGTTTCGGACTAACATTATTTTGGATTAAAAGCTTTGAGGATTCACAGGAGCTAGCCTTGAAGGCTCGGACGCATTGCATGCAATAAGAGAAAATTCATCTATCCCTCTTCTTTCAGCCCTTCTAGTACAAGTGCCACTTAACTAGATTTATGTTCCCTTAATGTTTCTGCTAGTTTTCGTGTTGTAATTTCTGATCAGTCTGTTAATTTTCCTTGTTCACATTTACTCGCCTTGCCAAGAGCTAGTTGCTTTGCACTGTAATTTCTCTTCGTTTCATTTATAGTGATCTTTTTCTCTTAAGAAAAAGTTGCCTCCACGTAGTTAACAACTCTTGGCATTGGCTGAGGAAGAGAGAAGCAGACGACCATTGCAATTGTGAAGTAATCTAAATGTGACGGATTTGATATTTTGCTACTTGTAACACTTGTGACGGATTTGATATTTTGCTACTTGTAACACTTGTGGATGATACTTTGCTGTAACTTGTGGCATTTCCATTGAAGGAAGCCAAGTTCTTGTTATGGTCTGTGTTGACATTGCAGTCTTGTGATAAGCTTTATTTGGCATTTTGGTTCACACCACCGAATCTGTGCTCATTTCTAATTTCTAATGAAAAATATCTACATTTTTATTTATTTAATTTTTTCAATAGTGCCTTGCGTATTTCAAATGCTCATGAATCTTTTCATCTTGCAGGTACCTAAACTTTCTTTTAATTTTTAATTTGGTACCTATACTTTTTTAACATTTTAAAAAATCCTTAAACTATCTTCTGTTATCTCCGTTAACCCCCACACTTTACAAAACACAACCAAGGGCCAACGAAGGAATTAATGCTGTTCAAATCAAATTTCTTCATCAAAACGTACTGAACTTCAGTGACAGAGGAGGTCTTCCATGGATGGAGGGGTTCGATTTGCAATGTGATTTGGAGAGGTGTTGACGGAATCAAAACCTTATACAAATAGATTTTCTTTGACAGATTTGATCTCCGCAGTAGAGGGAGGTTTAAAATCCAACTTCTTCATTGAAACTGAGCTTCAGCGATTGAGAGGTGTTCGACGACTAGGGGGTTCAATTTGCAAAGCGATTCGGAGTTGAGGGCTATAACATAATCATAGCTTTTTGCAAAGGGATATTCTTCGATAGGTTTGATCTTTGCCATAGAGGGAGGATGGGTTCTCTGATCTCACCTCCTGCTAGCTAGGCTGATTGATCGTGCAATTGCTTTTCCTTTTAGCGAGAAAGTGATTTTGATTGGATAGGTGAGATTTGTAATTTGTCTTCTGATACGATTTGGTTCTACGGTCAGTTGATTTTACTTGAAGTTTTTGTATTTTAAGCTTTAGTTTGTCAGCTTGAAACTATAATTCTAGCGGTATGTATATGTATTTATATGTGAACAAGGGATTAAAATGCTTACAAAGCTGCTAACCTTTCTTTTAAGAATCATGTTATTCGAAGTGTATGAACTCTTTAAAGTGCTACTCCAAGTTAGTTCCAGCTGTTGCAAGTTTCATTGCTCAATGCAACTTTACTTTTTCTTATCTAAAAGCAAATTCTAAATGTTGAAAAATAGTATAATAGTTTCTAATTAGATAACAATTTGCAAGACACTGAAACTCTGAAAGTTATATTTGGCATCACAAATTGTTGAGTATAATGTATAAATCATATAGCACATGCTATTCAGGGATTTTATTGACCTAAATCATGTGTAAGACAAAGGAGACAATACTCCTTCGTTTGTGCGTCTGCGTTTGCATCTTCTAATTTTTCCCTCCTTCTTTTCTCCTTTAATGCCATTTATCTGTCTGTTAGCTCTTGAGTGTGTTTTGTAAATTATGGGGGTTAACAGAGATAGCG